ATTGTTTTTTCTCAATATGAAAAATCATGTGATATGACGTTATTTCGACTATTTCGCGACTTTAGCCTTCAATGGTCAAAATCATTTCGACCATTTCGACCATTTCGGATATCCGAAATGATCCATTTTGACTTCATGTATAAACTAAATACTAGGATAAGAAAATACTATATTTGTGATAAGTGAAATAATAAATATTACAAATTTAATAATATATTCTTTATTTAATTATTTTAAAATTCAAAATAGTTAATTTTTTTTTAAAAATATTACTAATGATCCCATCAAAAAATTCTATTAAAAAATTTGAAAAACTTGCATAATATGTATAAAGAAAGATTGGTAATTATAATTTCAGCTTATTTGTTATAATGATTTTACATGTATTTTATACTTTATTTCCTAAATTTTCTCCATTTTTTAATTATCTAATCTAATTTTAAATGTATAACTTTGACTATATGATTAATACTCAATAATAATTTTAAAAAAGAAATAACTAATAATCTTGATAAATTCGTAAATATTTGTGAATCTTTCTTATTGATATACTTATCAAGATTTGAATAATATGTATTATTTCTAAGATTATAATATTCATAATTTAAAGGAAAAAATTCAGATAAGACAAATAAAAAATTCAAAGCTGAAATCACATAGAAGCTAAAATAAATTTTTTTTCTTTTGTTTCTTTATTTACTTGAGTTATTAAACTAATAATTTTAAACTTTAGATGTATTATCATTATGTAGTTTATATTATTTATATGTAACTGTTCATTTATCAAGTCCAGATCGATGATTTAAATATCCACTATGAAATTCATAATAATTGTAATAAATATATCAGATTATTATAATTTCATTGAAAATGAGTTTAGAAATACTTTGGTATTCATATATTATATTACATGTATAAAGACCAATATATAGGATTTGAATGTTTTTACCCTATATATCTCACAAATGATTTTTATATCCAATTTCACAACCATAAAATAAAAATCTTTATGGCAAAATAAAATAAATAGCATTAACTAATTTATTCAGGTCTTTGTAACTATTTCAATACTTTTGATCATAATTAAAATGTTTCATATATACTTCAAATAATTCCTTTTGATTGAAATTCTGATGTTACATTTTTATCAATTTGCTAGATTCCAACTAATTAATATATATTTTTAAGATTTGTGGTTTGACCATATGTTTGTAATTCATTATTTATATAATTAATTAAAACACATGATGAAAAATGTGTATTTAAGCAAAGTTAAGATTAGATTTAATTTCTTTAACAGGTATTGATAGAGTAACAAATATTGATAAAAGTGAAGAAGTAACAGATATTGATAGAAGTAAAGAAGTAATAGATGTTGATAGAAGTGAAAAAATAACAAATATTGATAGAAGTAAAGAAATAACAGATAATGATAAAAGTGAAGGAATAATAAATATTAATAAAGGTGAAGAAATAGCAGATGTTTATGAAGATAAAGGAGTAATAGATGTTAATGAAGGTGGAGGAAAAACTTAATTTTCAAAATCTGTTTTAAAATTATTATCATTTTCATTACTTATAATTTCTTATTTAAATATTGATTATGTATTATTATAGTTTTTTGATTAAACTTAAATACTAAGTTAGGAAGTTTATTATACTATTAAATAAAATACTTTCGATCTAATAATTACATTTTAATAGAAATATAAACATTAGAACCGTCTTATCAAGAGCTTTCTAATGAATATAAACATAAGATTATTAAACTAATAGAAGCAGAGATAATTCAAAAGTGTGATTGCTATTATAATTTTACAAATCACTATTAAAGAAAACTGTAATTTCTTAAGCTGCAGTCTGATGATTAAAATGACTGAAACTTCAAAAATGATGATAATATTGTTAACTAAATTTATATAGTTGTTTAATTTTAATTAGTTCCTTATGTTTATTTAGTTAAATTAGTTAATTTATTTAACTAAGTTAATGAAGTTTATAATATTTCTTTAGTTTTAATAAGTTTTACTTTATCTTAAAATTGTAATAGAAGTAGATCAAATATTTTATATAAATAAATAGAAAATTGCTGTAGTTAGAGACAATTAGATTAGAGATCAGTTTAGTTTTAATTAAAGTTAATTAGAGAATTAATTGTGAAATTCATATTCTGATAAATTCATGAACAGAATTTATTTAGTTTATTGAATTATATTAATCCACTTTTATTTTAATAATAAACCAAATATTATCCCTATAATATTGATCTGTTAAACTTGTGATCTAAATCTAATCTATTATTATTACTCTCCCATTATATTTGAAGTATTTATATATTTATATATCCTTAACATTCCTTGTACTTATAAATTAATATACTATTAATTCAATAGTTTTATTAATGTAAACAAGTTTTTAAGATTATTAGTTAAATCATTATTCTTCAGATACCTAAAACCTTGTTATATATATTAAAGTCTATTTTTTAGTCAGTAGACTTCATAATTGACTCGTATAATAATACATAACATTAGTTAGCTTATAAAATTAAGTACCTAACGTTATATTAAAATTTTTTTAACTATCAGGATATAAAAGAACTTTATTTTTAAAAGCCAAATTTTCTTTTATCTTAAATTTAAGTCATAAATTGAATTTTGTGTTAACTTTAATACTAAATATAAAAAATAAAATTGTATAAATTCACTTTTGAACTATAAGCCAAACCATTTAATATTATATATTACATATAAGAAAAAGTTAGCAAAATTAGCATTTTTTATATTATTTTTAAATTTCTATTATAAATATACCTTACAGATCCTATAATTAAAATAGGGTTCCTCAAAATCGAATTGAATCAAATATTTAAGCAATTTGAATTTGATTTGATTTTTTCAAATCAAATCAAATCAAATCAAATCAAATTGAACTCAAATATTTGATTGAATCAATTTGAATTAAATTGAATCAAATATTTGTCAAATCAAATCAAATCAAATATAAATTTTTTTTTAATTTTTACAATGATATATTAAAATATAGTTATTATAAAGTTTTAATTAAGAAAATTATTAGTAATTATACTAAAAAATTTCAAAGATAGCTTTTACAAAGTAAGTTTAGTAACAGGTAAATTTTTACTAATAAACTTAGTAAAATAACTATGCAGTCTCAGTTTTACTAAGAAAACTTAGTAATAACCACCATTGCAGTTTCAGTTTACTAAGAAAACTTAGTAATAATCATCATCGCAGCTTCAGTTTTACTAGGAAAACTTAGTAATAACTGCCATCTCAACTTTGTAATTATTTTATTAATAAAAAAATGTTTCTGAAGCCGCGAACATGTTTTTTTACTAGATTTCTTAGTAAAATAATATCAGAGGCATTTTTTACTATGTATTCTTAGTAAAATAAAATCTCTGAAGCTGTAGAGGCGTTTTTTACCATATTTTCTTAGTAAAATAACGTCTTTGAAGTTGCAGACACACTTTTTAATATGGTTTTCTTAGTAAAAAAAGAATTTCTAAAGCTGCAGAAACACTTTTTACTATGGTTTTTTTAGTAAGAGGCAATCCTAAAGCTTTGAAGATAGCTTTACTATTGATTCAAATCAAATCAAATATTTGAATACTTGATTTGAATTTGATCAAATTGAAT